TGCAGTTTGGGGTAGTTAATGATCAATTAGTAAATTACACTTTCAAATCTAATTCATGGTTGGCTCCCTGATTCCTTCTCAACTATTTTTTCCTAAAGCCAAAAATAGTTTTTATAATCTTATAATCCAAAGTATTTTAGGAAAATGCAAAAAAAAAAAAAAGTAAATTCCTGTGATTTACAGAAATAAAAAAAGGGTAACAATGTGAGCCATGGGTGATAGAATTGATGGTAAATGGTTACCTTGTTGACAGGCGGCTGTTTGCAGAATGATGAGTGTAATCCATAGAGCATAGCGTGTTCCAGGGAAGTTTAGTAACATTGTAGCAGAAGATCACAGGGTGGGGATGCTGATGGAGCCCCCTGCACAGCGCCCTTCACAATGTAAACGCTTTCCAATTTCTTTCCTTGACTGGTGATTCAATGCAATAGTCGCAGTTGTTGGGCTCCAATCAGAGGTAGGGGTCAGTGCTGGAGATGTCTGCGCTCCAGCAGCATTGTACAGCAGAGTACAGGGCTGTGTGTGTGTCCAGCCCTGTAATACTAGCTAGGAACGCCCCCCATCCCACCAACAGCAAGAGGAGGGGGGAATCCTGATGTATTGTGCTTCCAAATTCCCATTCAGAAAGATTTACTAATGACAGCTCATTCACACGAGCGATTGGGCTGCATCGCCTCATCTGGACGCAGCAGCACTCTGTGCCAGGGGCGGACTTACAAGCTCATGGGGTCCCCGGGCAATAGGGGATCATGGGGCCCCTGTGTCCTTGCCCAAACTCAAAAAAGCCTATGAAAAAGGTAACAGGGGCATCTCATGGGGCCCCCTACTGACCCCGGGCCCTCGGGCAGTGCCTGAGTTTCCAAATGGTCAGTCCGCCCCTGCTCTGTGCTATAGCTGGATTATTAGCTGTGGTCAGTTTGTATGTGGTCATGGCCGTCACTAGCACCAGGCACCCATGATGTGACTTTTGCAAGGTGCCTCGGGTCCGATGCTGCAACTGCTGGACACTAAGCCCCTGGCCGCCCTGGGTGCGACTTGGCATGCGATTTGCATGCCAGGCAACTTGCAAATCACATGCCAAATTCTATTCCGCACCCGATTGTCCGCAATGACAGCAGTCATATTGGCGCGGTTCAGGGGCGGACTGACCATTTGGAAACTCAGGCACTGCCCGAGGGCTCGGGGTCAGTAGGGGGCCCCAAGAAATGCCCCTGGTACCTTTTTCATAGGCTTTTTTGAGTTTGGTAAGGACACAGGGGCCCCATGATCCCCTATTGCCTGGGGGCCCTATGAGTTGTCAGTCTGCCCCTGGTGCGGTTCTGACTTGGTCGGAGCCACAACAATTTCTAAAGTAGTGCATGCTTTTCTTTTGCTGCGATTTGCATAGACATCTGTGTCAGATGTCTTGCAAATCGCACCTCAAATCGGCATGAAATCCCGATTTTGAAATCGTGCAACTTCACTGTAAGTCGAATGATTTCAAAGTTGGATCAGTGTGACTGGGGGTCAGTGCCCGGTCATACCAGTGCACAATTCAGGTGCGATTTGCAGATGAAAATTGCACCTGAAATCGCATCTAATGAATGGGAATGTCAGTGTCTTAACACGTGCGATTTGCTGAAGCGCGATTTCTAAAGTAGTTCTTGCATTACTTTTCCTGCAGTTTTGTTGCGATTTCACATACATAGAATATAATGGAAATCGCACTGCAAAGTGCAAGAAATCGTTGAAAATCTTAACAGCTAGCAATAAAGTCTTCAGAAATCGCACCTGAAATCGCGCTGAAATTTCACACAAATCGTGTGATTTTAAATCTCAGCGGTGTAACCGGTGACTAAAGGTGGGAATACACGATTAGAAAATAGACCGATCGGTCATCCGACGACCAAGAGGTGTTTGTTCGTTGATTAACCAGTCTAAAAGTATCGTTCGTCGGGCAATACGTAGTGTTGACGTCTTCCGTACAAGTGGAAGTGATGCGGTGTGCGTGTGACCTTGTAGCCACGCCCCTTCCGGCCAGAACAAGCGATATACACAACAATGACCAGCAATGAGTATAATATCGTTTATTACACAACCTATATACATAAATAGTGATACATAAATTATAATCTGCACAATTCGGGTTTCATGATCTCATTCGGCCAATCTACTTTTAACATTTGGATTTTTCATTCGTGTTTACGAAGATTCCTTGGACACAAACATCTGGGTCATCTTCTGTTTCCGCTCATGCGTGATAGCGCTTGATAGATTTTTTTTGTACGACCGTCATACCACCTCATAGAAAATCGGTCGTTCGTATGCAAAACGACAACATTTTTCACTGTTATTCAACCGGATTTTTTCGTTCACAATATTGTTATCGGTTAAAACCATCCCGCTCATCAATAAAGAGAAAATCGTTAGATCAGCGGTTCCGCAAAATTTTTCGGACGATTTTCTTATCATGTGTATGGAGCATGAGGCTGGCCATACATATACAATTTTCTTGAGAATTCTGCTTTAGATTTACCAAAAACCATATAATATGAGGTCAAACCAGCATATCTTTATAATGGTATTTCACCAGTTTCTGGTGAGTTTTCACTTTGATGGGTTGTTGAGCACTGGATTATTCACTGGTGAAAGAAATTTTAAGATTCCATAACTTCATTGATTGAAGAACATATATGCTCTATATGGACTTTATTTAACCACATGCCGCCCAGCCACTGTGTAAATACGGCGGCAGGGCAGCATGACTGGGCAAAACCACGTTTTAAAACGTGTGTTTTGTAAACAGGTAGGGGGCGCGCGCGAGGTGCGCCACCGCCCTACCTGTCCCGCCAATCAGTCACCGGGTCACAGCCGGTCATTACGGCTATGTCCCGGCGATCGGCGGCAATCGCTGACAGAGAGTACAGCTGCAGTAGCTGTGCTTTCTGTCAGTTCCCTGACAGCTCCAGGACAAGCTGATTGAGACAGAAGAGTTTTTCTCTCTCTCGATCAATGGTGTTCCCTGCAGTACACACCCCCGCCCCCTAGTAAAACATTCCCCTCACACAGATAACCCTTCCCTGAATAATAAACTTAACCCCTTCCTCCCCAGTGCCATTAGTACAGTGTCAGTGTTTTTTTTTGCACTGATCACTGTATTGGTGTCACTGGGGATGTCAGTACCCCCCAATGTCAGAATGTCTGCTGCAGTCCCGCCATAAGTCGCTGATCGCCGCCATAAGTCGCTGATCGCCGCCATTATTAGTATAAAAAAAAACTAAAAATCCCAGTATCTTTCCCGCCATTTGTAAACACTATAACTTTCACGTAAACCAATTAATTTACACGTATTGGGTTTTTTTTTTAGCAAAGACATGTCGCAGAATGCATTTTGGCAGAAATTTGATTTTTGCATTTTTTTTTACTGGACATGTTTTATAGCAAAAAGTCCAAAATATAGTTTTTTTTCCTCAAAATTGTCAGCCTTTTTTTTTTATATCGCAAAAAATAAAAACCGCACAGGCGCGATCAAATACCACTGAAAGAAAGCTCAATTTGTGGGAAAAAAAAGGATGTAAATTTCATTTATGTACCGTATTGCATGACCGCGCAATTGTCCGTTAAACTAGCGCAGCGCTGTATAGCAAAAAAATGGCGTAAATTGCAGTATCTATACCATAGTTTGTAGACGCTATAACTTCCACACAAAGTAATCAATATACACTTATTGGGATTTTTTTTACCAAAAACATGGAGCAGAATACATTTTGGCCTAAATTTATAACCAACTTTGAGTTTACTATATATTTTTTATAGCTGAAAGTAAAAAATATTGTTTTTCTTCAAAATTTTGGGCCTTTTTTGTTTATAGCGTGAAAAATAAAAAGCACACAGGTGATCAAATACCACTGAAAGAAAGCTCTATTTGTGTGAAAAAAAGGACGTAAATTTCGTTTGGGTGCAGCATTGCATGACCGCGCAATTATCAGTTGAATTAGTGCAGCGCCGAGTAGCAAAAAGAGGCGTGGTCATTAAGGGGGGTAAATCCTCTGGAGGTCAAGTGGTTAATGGATTTTAATGAGGATCCATCAGATCAGTTTTGTTTTTTCCACACGTTATATTTCATTTGGTGGTGGATTACTATTATTATTATTATTATTATATATTATATTAATAATAATAATAATTTTTTCATTTTATTTTTTTTTTCAGTTTAATTTTGTTGTTGTATTTATGTTTTCAGTTGTATTTTGTGAGAGCTATTATTGTGGTTATATTTATTTATTTTCACAAATTTGATATATTTTGGGTTACTGTTGCATAATAGCAGCTCCTATACAAAATAATATTTCCCAGGACTACATTCTCAAGGCGCGATGATGTAGACTTTGGAACATATTCATCTGCTATTACTATAATTCACCAGGGTTTATATTGTTTTTCAAAATTTTTATATTCTTTTACAGGTGTTTAAAGTTTGGTTGCTGCCTCAAATTTCCAAGGGGTATTGGTAGTGTGCTTTGTTACATGTTTCCAGGATCCTAAAGTAGATGGTAAGACTTTTAGACCCTAATTCTTTGACCGTGGGGCATGCCCACCATTCATGGGTCATAGGACCCTTAGATCTTTGACAATGACAATAAACATCAGGAAGGGATAGGTAAAAGTGGTCAAGAACAACAGGAGTTGTTTTTAGAGCTTTTTTTAGGTGACATCCAAGTGAATTTACATTTTTCAAGTTATTATTGTGATTGTGCAGCATAGTGGCTAAGTGATTAGCACTTCCGCCAAGCAGTACTAGTGTTGTCAGTTCAAAATCACAATACAGCGCCACCTGAGTTGAGTTTGCATGTTCTCCCTGTGCCTGTGTGGGTTTCCTCTGGGTACTCCAGTTTCCTCCCAAAATATATGTATGTAAAATGATGGCATTATATAAGTACCTGAAATAAATAAATTGTGAATATTATGTACAGTAGATTTTATTTGGAACCTTACAATTTTTACATTCTTACTGCTGCATTAATTTCAGGAGAGTATTTCATGTACAGATTTGTAGTTTTTCTCATGATGTCCAGCCCAGGGGCGGACTGACCATTTAGAAACTCGGGCACTGCCCGAGGGCCCGGGGTCAGTAGGGGGCCCCATGAGATGCCCCTGGTACCTTTTTCATAGGCTTTTTTGAGTTTGGGCAAGAACACAGGGGCCCTATGATCCCCTATTGCCGGGGGCCCCATGAGTTGTCAGTCCGCCCCTGGTCCAGCCATATGTCAGATAATGCAATCGGTACCCTTTTGCAATGCAAAAATGCAATGAATGGCTAAAAGTAGGCAAGCGCAGTGGGCCCATCCATGCAAACTCACTTGAAATCACTTGCAAAGATCAGGCAATGAAGGTCTTCTTATACCCAGAAGAAAAAAACAACAAACAACAAGGGTTGTATCCCTCCCTTGAAATACACTTTACATGGTCAGTTTAGTAACAGAATTGTGTTTACCAAAGTTCAACTTTAAAGTGTAAGTTCACCTTCAGGAAGGTTTTTCAAAAATCTCCCTAAGCCTATGCCATTTATATTCAAGAATAGTACATACTGGAGCTCCTCCTGTTCTAATGGTGCAGGTGAGCTCACCTAGAGAAGGAGACCATGCCATGCCCTCTTGCACAGTCTGAATGACCCAGAGCGGCCCATACCAACCTCAACAAAATGAAAAGAAAAAGTCCAACCCAAAATACGAACGGTGTTCAAGTCAAACCAGGACATTTGAGTTTTATATAATAAAAGAACAAATGTCAAGGAGTGAAAAGTGCATTTATTTTTTTACATATTCCCCTGCTACATTTATACTCTTATCCCAGCATTTATCTAATACCTGGAAAGCTTCAGCATAGAAAGATTTGTCAGTACGCCTGAACCCATCCTAGGGCAGCAGACTTCACTTCCTCATCATTGTGTTCACCGTTCCCATAGAAAGATTTGTCTCCTGTGCCATTTCATGACAGGTTATGCGTCGATTATCCAGGATCAGGCGTTGCACACGCTGAATGCTCACAGGAATGACTGCTGTGGGCTGGGAACCATCACGCCAGTGACGGACATACGGCCATCTTGAACTGTTTGCACCATTCAAATGTCTTACTGCGGCGGCTGAGCATCTCATCACCATGCTGTGCTTGAAGTCTTCATGTAGATATCTGTGAGTTTTATGCCTTTGTTCACCAGAAACCTCATCAGCACACGCTGTTCCATGCACGCACTAACACTGTTGTCTGCCATCTTGATTAAAGGTCTCTGGACTGGCCCGTGACTTGTGCGCCGCCTACCAGTAATAGGACACTCTTGCCACTTACTACTGGGTGTAGTACCTCCACGCTAGCATCCCTTTTTATACCTGGAAAATTAAAAGTCCCGGTTTGACTTGAATGCTCCTTATACAGTTGCAAGAAAAAGTATGTGAACCCCTTGGGATTAGGTGGAGTTTTGCATGAATTGGGCATAAAATGTGCTCTGAACGTCATCTAAGTCACAACAATAGAAGAACACAGTCTGCTGAACATAATACTACACAAACATTAGATGTTGCCATGGTTTAATTGCACATAACATGTAAACATTCACAGTGCAGGGAGGAAAAAGTATGTGAACCTTTGGACTTAGTAACTGGTTGACCCTTCTTTGGCAGTAATAACCTCAACCAAACGTTTCCTGTAGTTGCAGATCAGACCTGCACAATGATCTGGAGTCATTTTGGACCACTCCTCTTCACAAAACTGTTTCAGTGTAGCAATATTCTTGGGATGTCTGGTGTGAATCGCTCTCTTAAGGTCATGCCACAGCATTTCAATCGGGTTGAGGTCAGGACTCTGACTGGGCCACTCCAGAAGGCGTATTCTGTGCTGTTGCAGCCATTGTTTTTGTTGAATTACTTGTATGCTTTGGGACATTGTCCTGTTGCATCACCCATCCTCTGCGGAGCTTCAGTTGGCGGACAGATGGTCGTACGTTTTCCTGCAAAATGTCTTGATAAACTCTGGAATTCATTTTCCCATCAATGACAACAATCCGTCCAGGCCCTGAGGCAGCAAAGCAGCCCCAAACCATGATGCTCCCTCCGCCATGTTTCACAGTGGGGATGAGGTTTTGATGTTGGTGTGCTGGGCCTTTTTTTCTCCACACATAGTGTTGTGTGTTTCTTCCCAAACAACTCAATCTTGGTTTCATCTGTCCACAGTATATTTTGCCAGTAGTGCTGTGGAACATCCAGGTGCTCTTTTGCAAACTTCAAACGTGCTGCAATATTCTTTTTGGACAGCAATGGCTTCCTCCGTGGTGTCCTCCCATGTACTCCATTCTTGTTTAATGTTTTCCTTATTGTAGATGTGTCAACAAAAATGTTAGCATGTGCCAGAGATTTCTGTAGGTCTTTAGCTGACACTCTGGGATTCTTCTTTACCTCATGCAGCATTCTGCGCTGTGCTCTTGCAGTCATTTTTAAGGGACGACCACGCCTAGGGTGAGTAGCAACAGTGCTAAACTTTCTCTATTTGTAGACAGTCTGTCTTACCGTGGACACATGAACATCAAGGCTTTTGGAGATACTTTTGTAACCCTTTCCAGCTTCATGCAAGTCAAAAATTCTTGATCGTAGGTCTTTTGAGAGCTCTTTTCTGCGAGGCATGGTTCACATCGGACAGTGCTTCTTGAAACCAGTAAACACAAAACAGGTGTGTGTGTTTTTTAAGGTCAGGACAGCTGTCAGCAACACATCCAATATCATCACACTGATTGGAGTCAAGGTTGGCTCACTCCTGGCTCCAATTAGCTCTGGGAGAAGTCATTAAGCTAGGGCCTCACATACTTTTTCCTCCCTGCACTGTGAATGTTTACATGTTATGTACAATTAAACCATGGCAACATCTAATGTTTGTGTAGTATTATGTTCAGCAGACTGTGTTCTTCTATTGTTGTGACTTAGATGACGTTCAGAGCACATTTTATGCCCAATTCATGCAAAACTCCACGTAATCCCAAGGGGTTCACATACTTTTTCTTGCAACTGTACATACCAGACCCCTTGAATCTGGTATGAATTTTAGGAGGATCTCCATACACAAAAAAACAATGTGTGAGGTCCCCCTAAAAGTCCACACCAGACTCTTAAACTGAGCATGCAGTCTGGCTTGCCTCCTGAACTGTACCAGGCGACATACCCTCAACATGGGGGGGCACTTTGTTGATCAGGACAAGAGCCTCTCCCCCCCAACCCTGGCCGGTGGTTGTGGGGGTCTGCGGGTGGAGGGCTTATCAGAATCTGGGAGCCCCCTTTTGGAAAATCTTGAAGGTAAGCCTACACTTTAATTAATGCGTATAGTTGGACCTGGAATAGATGTACACACTCAATATCACTAGATACATGAGATATGTTGTTGAAAAAATGATACGTTGTACAACAACAATGAGAAATTCTTAGCGGCGGGCCCAGATGTGTTGTTCTGTATAAAGTTAATAAATCTGTTTCTGCCCAGCCTACTCCATCCAGAACTGACAGTATTGCAGCCTTGTGAGCTTTGTGTCTGCCTCCATCCCATAGATATTATCTTTGCCGTGTCATTATCTTCTTTGACTCTTTCATTATCTTTCCGTTCCCACACACAAATTATTGCTACGAGGGCCGTATTTGGGGAAAATGGATAGAGACACACAGATTAAAAGCTCCACTCAGGATAATAGTTTTACATTCTGAGTAACTACAGAGGAATGGACAGCTGATGTTTGAAAGCTTTGACATTTTAGATATCCTCTCCTCCCCCCAGGAAGAACAACGTAGAACTGGAACTCTAAAATTTTGGCATCTCTTACTTTTTGGATGGCATGGTGCTCACCATGGATAGGTGGCGGCTACCAGTATCTGCAACCGGCAATGGAATAAAATGTCCTATGTTAAAAATGATATGGATATGAGGACTCTTGACCAGGGGCGGACTGACAACTCATGGGGCCCCTGGGCAATAGGGGATCATGGGGCCCCTGTGTCCTTGCCAAAACTCAAAAAAGCCTATGAAAAAGGTACCAGGGGCATCTCATGGGGCCCCCTACTGACCCCGGGCCCTCGGGCAGTGCCCGAGTTTCCAAATGGTCAGTCCACCCCTGCTCTTGACACATATATGAGCCTGTAAGAGGACTCAGTCTTTACACATCACGTGGGTTACTCAACAGGCCCAATGCATTCACAAGTCAAAATCCTTTGTGTCCAAAGGGCTCTGTTCAAACCAATGCATTGCATTGGGTGGAAATGGAACATGCTGCATTTAAAATGTGTATAAACCCTTATATACAGTATACCCAGTGAAATGACTGGCCTCAGGTGATACACAGGGCTGAAACAAATCCTCCTACATAAGTTGTACCTATTTATCTGCAGTATTCTCTACATTTATTTCAGGTACTTATATAGTGCCGTCAATTTACGCAGCGCTTTCCATATATTTTGTACATTCACATCAGTCCTTAACCCTCAAGGGGCGTACAATCTAAGGTCCCTAACTTACTTGGAGGGTGGGAGGGAACCGGAGTACCCAGAGGAAACCCACGCAGGCACAGGGAGAACATGCAAACTCCAGGCAGGTGGTGCTGTAGTTGAAATCCATTCAAAGTCCAGCATTCATACATCTTGTCTGAGCTTTCAGAAAGCAGGGTGCGGAGAGCTGATGTTATACTCTTCAGAGCTCATTGAAAGCTGATTGGAGGAAAGGGACACAGCACCCTTCACACAGCACACAGGAACACAGCTGAGGCTACCAATCACAGGATGTGTGCTGGAGCTCCCTCCCCTGTCATGTGTCAGGAAAACATGTTAGAAATGACTCATGCAGATAACAGAGAAACAAGGCAGCAGACAGAAATTATACTCAATGCTCTGGATTGAGAAAGTGCACACAATAGAGGGATATGCTTTGTTCACATTTCATGTCTGAGGTTCACAGCCACTTTAAAACACAGCACAACGTATTCTCATATGTAAACACTTGCTGCAACACATGTTAAGGAATAATAAAAAAGGATATCATCATCCGTCAACTCAAATATATTTAACACACATAGACACAAGCTAAATGCTAACATTTTCCCAAGGGAGGCATACCTGTAAAAGAAGAATGTAAATACTTACCTTACTGCTGCCTGTGCTGCCAAACCCCCGAAGTCCAGAACTCACTTTTTCTAGCCTCTCCCAAATGCTCATTGGTTTTTCCTGCTGATCTCTGCATCATTACAGGACTGAGTCAGCAGGAGGAACCACTGAGCACTGGGAGGAACCAAGGAGA